CGATTTATTTCATTAATCTCCTGAGAAACTCCTGTCTGGGGGTAATTGCACGCCTGATTGACTGTTGTAGTCCGCAAAAACAAGCCTTTAACAGTTAGCAAGGCCTTTGCATGCTTCATATAAAAGACAACCGTGGGTTTTAGCATTCGCACCATAGCCTTGTTGTTAAAGGTGATCTAAAGACTGCACAAGAAAAATAATTTTAAATGACATTCCTCTGAATTCACTCAGTGGATAAAATCTGTCATATTTATTTACATGCCTACAGCACAATAAAATAACAACAACAAAAAATTCAGTCAGTTTCTCGCCTTCATGTCAGTCCAAACCGGTATGACTTTTTTCACCATTGCTTAAAAGGTTTCAAGGCAACAGCACCATAAAAGCAGTCCATATGACTTATGTGAAATATTTAGGGCCCTATTTTAACGATCTAAGTGCATGGTCCAAAGCGCACGGCGCAGGTGCACTCAGGGCATGTCCGAATCCACTTTTGCTAGTTTAACGATGGGAAAACGGTCGGCGCACCCGGGCGCATGGTCTAAACGGGTTCCCCTTCAGGAACTCGAGCTGCGTCGAGTCGTTTTGGGAACATCCTTGCGTGACCACGTTCTGAAGCACGTGTTAAATCAGTCCAATGGAGCAGCGAGACGTCACAAGCGGGGTGATGTAAGCACCAGAAAGTATAAAAGCGCATCCAGCAGAGTGCAAACCAGCTTCTTCTCTTCAGTAGCGCTCTGTGTATGTGTCTGTCTATTTACTGTTGTCTGTCCGCACAAGCATATATAAAAAACAATCATGAAAATGTCATGGCGCGCGAACGGCATTACAAATGCTGTGTTTTTCCCTGCCCACGATATCTGGAGGCAGGTGATGCACACGATTTGTGTGTCATTTGTTTAGGAGCGAAGCATGCACGGTCATCACTGCGAGTTACTCTTGCTTCGTATGCTCCGCTCTCGCCTGGCTGTATTTGATGAGAGCGGCTAGGCTCTCCGCTCTGGTTCTCCCTCACGCATCCAGCTCCACTGGGGCTTGATGCCATGGTGCAGATGTGGCCGAGTCTTCGTCTGTACGCTTTTCCCCCGATCGCTCTGCTCCCGGGAGTTCTGGAGAGGGTACACCGGGATGGGGTCCGTTTATTGCTAGTAGCCCCGTTCTGGCCGGCCCGAGTATGGTTCTCGTACTTGGTGTCCCTCCTCGACGGCTCTCCGCTGGAGATTCCGATCAGGAGGGACCTCCTCTCTCAGGCGGGGGGTGCCATTCTTCACCCCCGCCCGGAGTTATGAAAGCTGTGGGCATGGCCCCTGAGGGGGCACAGCTCCTAGCATCTGGTCTCT